CAGGCACCTCCATAGCATGTAGTAGCTTCATTTCACATAATTTCATTAACTTCATTTACAGAATAAATTAACAAATGTTATGGGTAAAGTGATTAAATATTTATACAGTGCTGAGCATCATTAAATGTGTAATGCTGTTATGTTCACAGGAAAGCGAGATTAAGTTGTGTGGCAACTGTGGAAGAGCCTACCTCTCTGCATCGGTGTTTGTGTTCTGTTTACTAGTGTGGATCTTTAGTGACATAATAGTGCGGCATTGGTCATGATCATTCAGCCCCGTAAGTGCACATCCCACCCCCTAACACTGCAATCACACAAATCTAAATAATATCATCAATTGCACGCACACACTAACACACGGTAGACCAGAACGTGCACAGGAGGATGATGCGTCGCTGTGGCAATGATCTTCCTTTGCAGGTTTGGTTGCACTTGCTGTTTGTGCCAGTCGCAGGGTCATTTAGCATTGTTTTAAATGACAATAATAGTGATTGAGGCACAGAATTTGGATTGTTGTAACGATTTGTATGTTTTTTTTTCCTCATTCCTCATTTCATTTTCTTCACAATTTTTCTCTTTGTTCTTCTTTCTGTCTTTTTACCTTATTCTTTCCTAGTTCTTTCCCTTCATCCCACCCTCTAGCTTTCTTTCATTCCTTTCTTTACATCATGTTACTGTACTTACATAACCTTACAATCACAGATGCATCTTAGTAACAATATGTCCTCTAGTACCACATTAGCAATCTTATCCTCAGTGATGTGTCTGAACAATCACTTGTTGATTGAATGGCAAAGACAGAAGTTTGCTGTGGTTTTACTCAGCCCCTCCAGCCAAGTTCTGGGATAGTAATTTAAATTAGGCCACAATCATTTTCTTTCATATCCTTTCCAACTCATTGTTCATTAATCTTCCCATAATTTGATGTTATATAGTCTGAGCTGCTTAAAACATTGGTAAATAAGTTGCAGATAAATAATAAATACTTGATTTAGAGCTTTCCACCAACGCTTCATGCCAATTTATCACAATGAATATTTAAAAAATTATAGAAATAATTTTCTGCTCTATCTGTAGTGTGATTGGCTTTGCAACAGAACGTTTATACTAATGCAGCATGACCCATCAGAATTGACAGGAATTAAGCTATTTTGTATTGAAAAGTAATATGATTTATTGCAGCATCATCTTTGAAAATAGCATTGAAAGTAAGAAATTTATAAAATTTCTTTATAAAGTAAATTAAGGTGAAAACATCTTCATTCTTGACTGAAGACAGATTCCTGCCAAACACACTAACACAAAACTGACCGCCTGACTCCAGACTCAGAATTCGCACCAAATACAGATGTCACCATAACCTCATTTGTGTTTCTTTTTACCAGAGGCACCACATTTCTTCCACATCACATGAATTGTGCACTCATGCAGTCATGTCTGATAGACATCTGCTATTTTATTAGGTGAAATATAAAAGATTGCAGGGAATTTGTTTGGCATTTATTTTCCATTCCTGTTAGATAGTGTACAGAGTGGTGGTGGGATGCTCTCTTTTCATTACAGTCCAAATGTTTTCTGATAGAAAGAGTTATCACAGAGCCACAGTTTCATCTGTGTACTTTGTGTCTTCCTTTCCAATCATTCCTCGTTCTGTAATTTTCTAATTAAAATTTTTAAAACTCAGTATGTATATTGAGTGGCACAAAGAATGTTATTTTTAAAAATGATGGTAAAGATAAAGAGTTATATGGATTTGAATGAAACATATAAGTTGTGTAAAGAATATCAAAGTTTGTGTACATAAAGGTTTATTCAGTTCAAAGTTCTTTCAAATCTATGTGTCTTTCATTTCTGCTACCCATTTTTGAAAACATCTTCTTTTTGTTCGTGCCATTCTATATATTCTGGTTGTACGTATGCATATTCTGCCAGGATTAGTTATATTGTTGCACAGTTATGTGAGAGATGACATTGGTATTTAATTCATTGTTAAAACCAGCTGCTGCACAAACATTATCCTCGCTCACATTTTCAATAGCGCTTAGAATGTTGCAATTTATGATTCATTCTACTTAAATTCTTACGCGTAACTTGTTTTGTTCATTATTTTTTTGAAGCCTCCGCATTACAAAATGCCAAGTTTGCAGAAGCCTTGTTGTATAACCTTACTTTTACCTGTTTTGCGAAAATTCTACAGATGGCAATGCAATTTTCTCAGCTTTGTATTTGAAACTATAATATGTCACTTGGCTGTGCATTTAAATTCTAAGTCCTAAAGTTGTCTGGAACACAGAGTTGCTAAAAATCAATTAACCTAAATAAAAGTTTGCTCATGAAATGCAACACTCTGAACACACCACATGCTGGTGACACATTATAACTGTGAAGTTAAAATGCACTGTCATTGAAGAGTTTCATTCAAACTTATCAGCATAAGTCCCTGCAAATTTAAGTTTATATGAATACTTTGTATAGACTTCTCTTGTAACAGTGTAACATATAGAGTGTCGAGTGACATTAGGTAAATGTTTCAGGATCTTATTTGTGGGGTCATTCCCAGTCAGAAATGTCATATACACATAAGTCCAATTCTCACTGCTTATGGAGCTGTGGATATAAATTGAAGATGATTTGAATGACACAAAACATGATTACAGATGCACTTACAGTATAATGGGACACCACACATTTCAGTCAACATGTGACAGAGTACATGAATGAAGAGATCTCTAACTGATGGATTGGTTGTGGTGGTCCTCAGAATTGGTCATCGAAATCACCAGACCTTAGTCCCCCTAGATTTCCATGTATGTGATTGCATGAAAAAACATGGCATATGAACACAAGGTAAACAGAAGAGAGGAGCTACAGCATCAAATTTTTTATGATGCAAGTTGCGTGAGAAATCCGGATGTTCTACATGACCTTCTCATCATCTTGAATTTCAGTTACCTGTAGCTGTGTAACAATAGAGAATCAATGGATTGACATATTAAAAGGTTGAGTATTTATAGTGGTGGCTGAAAAGAATGATATATAGACAATAAAACATTTTTTAACTGATTGTATTCTTTATGGTCACCCTGCGTGAAGCAACAAAACTTGCTTAATTGTAAACTCGTGTTACTGCAGACACGTTTCACCACTTCGGAATCTTCCTGTAGGATTTATTTCGTTAGAACCCTGATTAATTAGTCTTTTCCATGTAATTCAAAAGTAAGAAATGATGCTGATATTTGAATGGACCTCTTTGATAGGCTCTGAGATCAAATATGCACCCAGATCTTCACTTGTTATGACTGGAAGGTGTCAAACTGTCGACTCTCGGGTCTTAATGGGTTGAGTTCATTTTATGCCGATCGGGTTGTACGAATTGGTGAGTGACATTTCTCATAGAGTTTGTAGGAAGTTGAGGGAAACCAATCAACAATAATCACATGATATTCAGAATTAAATTGAATTAAACTCATTTTCCAATTTTAATGCATGTTGGTTTTGGAAATGAAGAGTAATTGATATTATGGAAAAATTATAAACAGAAGCAAATGTTAAGAGTGAAATTTTGTTACAACCTATGATACATAAATGTGTTGTTACTTTGTTTAGTGTTGCTGTTAACTGCTCTCTGCTCTAGGAGAGTTTGCTATGTAGAAACCATATTATTCCGATAGTGAGGTGTTGCAAGATCTTGACATATCCTTGGTTTTCAACCCACAACATATTAATTCTGCTTACAAAAATGTAGTGGAAGTAAGAAATATTGTAATATGTAACTTATAATGAGAAATGCCTTTTTTTCCCCCCCAAGAATCAATACTTGAAGTTATACCATTCCCATGCTGTTTGAAAATTGAGGTCTTGTTTATTTATGCGTGGTTTGTTTAATGATGTCAAGGTCTCAGGCTAAGTAGCGTTGAATGATAAAATGATTAATGAAGAATGAAATGGAAAGAATATGAGTGGAAGTGGTTTTGGCCTAGATTAATATTAGCCAGGTAGTAAGATTTATTGCAAATAAAATTATAAACATGAAATGTTCTCTACAAATAAAATATGATTTAAAAATTCAGACCAGCCTTATGTAATGTATGATTTAATGTGATGCTAACATGTTATTACCATTTTGATCTGATTATAAAAGCAATCTTGAAATGAAGCAACTCCTATATCACAAACAGTGTGAAATGAAACAAATTAGTAAATTTAATGTCGCATAAGAATTCTAAACCACTTGCCAGAATTTAATCTCTGACATTTGTAAACTGCCTGGAAATGCCACACCCAGTTACTTGATATTGCAGAAACACACCTAGTGAATTTTTCTGTTTTTGTTCTCATGGTTTGAGCCACTATGTGTTGAGACGTATTAGCTAATGCTCCATATTAATAAATCACTGAAAAGTATGTTTATGTGAATTAAAATCTGTATAAATTCTATTAGCAAAAAAGTTTTGAAATAATTACTTACATATGTTTTTACCTTTGGTAATAACCACAAATATATATGCCTTTTCCATTTTTAATCCCTGTACATTAATGGTAATAATTTACAGTGTATTGATTCTTTAGAAAATATTTCTAATACGTACTTTAAAATACTTGCTTGTTTTAAATTAGCTGTCTCTGGGTTGAAAGCCATGTGTTAAATACAAGGTGATAAGAAATATGTATACACATTTTAAACCAAGTTAAGATATGTCTCTTTTGACACAAATATCTAATTGAAATTATCTAAAGATGTACTATGTTATACTTTGTTGATGGTTGTATTGTTAATGAATTCTTGTAGTTTTTAATATGTAATACAAACAGGATGTATATTGTACTAAAACAGTCATGCAATAAGGCCACAAATGCATGTATACATACTTTTATACCAGTTACAATCTCTTCTTGCTGTTTTGTTGTATTGTAGAACTTCTTAATCCTGTCATATGCAGAGAGCTGCGTATACAGGAATAATTAATATACATTCATTTGTTTTGGTATGTAACTCCACTTAAAGGCAATGGGGTGAGCCCTGCTTAGCAATAAGATCATCCCTAAATCCTTAAAAAGTGGAGGTTATAACATATTTTTTCTTATTGCTGGTTATATGATATTTGTGAATAACTCTGACAGCAGAGTCGTTTTTCTGGGTCAGTTGTGAGCAGTGTTGGAAGCGTCAGATTTGATATTCTTACTGAGAGTGTGTGTTGAGGTACTCGAGTTGTTTTGGAGTCGTAACACTGTCATAAAGACTTGATGGATTTGATTTAACACTGACATACAAATTCCCTTCACACCCAGCGCAAATCCGTATGAAAATGACGCTTCAAAAAACCTCTAAAAAGATGGAAAAATTCAGTTTTGTTTATCATAGCCCTTTTCTGCAATAATTATTTTAAGCAAATTAATCATTAAATTAATACTGTATTCTTAATTTAAATTTCTAGATAAAAAATGTTGTTTCATGATCTTACTACCTAGGCAACACAAGACGTTACTGCATGGCGTCGTCGAAATCAAGAGAAGTCCGATACTTAAGCAGAATTATGGGTTACTAGGTTTGAAGACATGGGATGAAGGTTTGGACTGGTGGCTGGCTTTTGTGAATGCAGTAATGAAACTTCATGTCCCATAAAAAGTAGGGAATATTTTGAGTGACTGAGAAACTGTTAGTTTCTCAAGAAATATTTTGCCCCATGGGGTTAGTTAGGGGTTTGAGTATGGATAAAATATTGGACGTTATATCTGAATTATTATTGTGTTGATTTGGTTCATTCTATAAAATAGAATGTAATTTTGAATATGTTAAATGTTTTAAGCAAAAACGTAGTTTCCCCATTTGTCAATACAAATGCCACCACTCCTGTTTATAAAAACAGCGCTGGGTGTTGTGAGTAGACATAAATGGAGCAGTGTGTCCGTGAGTTACTGAAACAATAAGCAATATCGTGAGAGATCTTCAGTTCACATTGTAAATACAAAATTTACCAAAGGTATCAGCTACATACATGATGTTTAATTGCACATTTTTCCATATTGTGTAATTTCACATTTTACAGCTTCTGAGAACGAGATTAACCATTTTCGCTATAGAGAAATGAGGATATAGTTCTGTTAAACATTGGATCTCTGATAACAGTGTGTAAAAATGTTGTGTTATATTTCAGAGTTTCAAATTAAAGTCTCCATTGATATCTCCAGCCTTTCTGAACACAAAACTTTAAAGCTCAAATTAAGTAAAATATTAATTATAAATTTAATTTTGCTTGTAAATCATTGTATTGGCCCAAAATATCAATCTCCTTGAAAATATAAATCTGATCATTCTGACATTGAAATCTTTCATATACTGACTCAGAAAGACACAGTCTGATGTTAATTTGACATATCCCCCAGTTTACATCTTATTAACTGGACATATCTGTAATGTTGGTACACTTGAATGAAATTTCTCCTGTCAGGATCTAATTATTGATTATTGACCTACACTGTTGTGTGTAAATTCTTGCTCTGTCAGTTTTCTGCCTCAAATGTGAATTTTTATTTTTGTCAGGTAAGGAGATTTCAGAAAATTGGAAGACCAGAAATTAGTTTTTATTTTTAATTTATTTAATGATCCTTTCTCAGTTGCATAGATTATGTACTGTCAGATGGTATGGATTTAATACACAGGGAAAACCTTAATATTCATAATTCCTATAATGATAATAATAGCATCTTCTTTTAAAATAGTGCTAGTGTTAAACTCCGTTTTTTGTAATCAGCAGTGATTCTTCAATTTTAAAATAGTGCTAGTGTTAAACTCCATCTTTTTTTAATCAGCAGTGATTCTTCACACTGGCTCATTTTTCATGAATCACAAGTTTTCAAAAGACACATTTATTTCTCTGTTAATTTTCCTAAACTGAACATGTTATATTTAACATCTGAAAGAAAGAAATTCTTTGGCCCCCCTCCAAGATAGATCACTTCCCCTCTTTGTGACATCTGAGTACCAGTATATTTCTTTCTGGACCAAAAGTTTTAATATTTCATGAAATACGTATTTGATCCACGGACTTGGAGAATATTATTTTCATCTGTACCAACATTTTTCAACAATGTACACAAATACTGGCATACTGATATATGGTTATCTTTTAGAACATATCCTAAATCTAAGAATCATATCAGAGAAGATTGTTTACATATCAAAATATTACCATTTTTGAGACAAAATCTATACTTATAAAGGGAAGCAAAGATGAAAGATATGTGGAATCGTGGAAAACCTTTCATTGTTTTTCTTTACAGATGTGATGATGTATATGTAATTTTGAAATCATCAAGTCTTCAAAGTCTGCATTTATATTATAATTCTCTGTTTCCATCTCAAAAATGAACCTTAACACAATATTGGGACAACAGAGAAATATGGGAATTTCAGGACAATGGAAATTTGATTTTGTTCAGTAAAGTAACTGTTCGGCTTTCATAAACTTAAGCTGCCAGGGTGCCAGGCATCCTGAAGCTGTCAGGTTAATGTTGATTCAGAAGAAGTAAATTTTAATTGTTCATTTAACAAAACATACAATGTTCAGGACATGGTGACTGAACACTGCAGTCTCATAGAAGTGAACGTAATATTTGAATTAAAATTTTGTGCAAACTCTAGTTCCAGAAAGCAATTTTAAAGACAAATTTTGATACATAAATGGGATTGAGGGGGGGAAGGAGCCTAGAATCTGTTAGTGGCTTTTGTTGTTGCTTTGTAGCTGATACAAAAAAATAATAATGTAACATAAGACCTTATAATATAGCACAATGTACATTTTTTGTGATTATTTTACACATTTTGATGTGTATCTTAGGTGTATTATGTCCTGTGTACATTGACTGAGTGATTGAACACAAAATGGCACCAGCATAAATTACGGATGGAAACAATTGTTTTTAAATATGATTGACGTTTAAAATAAAGTGAGAATGTGTAGTGTTGATACTAGAAGAAAATATCTCGCTTTTACCTTTGTTAGTGGATGAAGTGGTGAAGGATTTAAGGTTATAAGGAACCACCAGGTTCAAGATGGCAATAATTATGAAGATCCTTAATGGTTTTTCAACTGCTATTTAATGAATGATATGAAAAGTTAACTAAAGAGTTTGTCACTAAAATGTTTTGAGACAATAAGAATCATATATCCCTGAGACTGACCCAACAGCAAATAAAATAATTTTTTCCACAGAGATGTGCTTTGTGCAGTGAGTATTATTATAAACAAGGTAATGTTTTTTCTTAGTAATAATTAGTTTTATATACAAATTACCTATATTGGTTACAAGTGTTTTTTCCATTCACAGACAAATAAAAAGTTGTTCTTAGGAATGTTATTATATTCCCTCCCTGTTATAAATAAATAATCAGATTTATTGAATTATAGTTGGAATTTGCAGACGTAACCAAAGAAACAATATCATGGTGTACTTTAATTTGTAACAACGCGTAGCAGTTTTGTTCGTGTACAATATATATACCTCAAAAATGAGTTACTCCAAATAGGGCAAAATAAGAATTAGTAATAATTGACGCTCTGGGTCTTTACTTTCATTTTGATGTAAAAATTTCCAGATATTGAACCCCTGTTCTGTGAAGATGTGTATGTTTTCTAGGTGTTTTAAAACAAAGAACAGTGCAGTTGTAACATTTTACACCACATTCATGTTTCTTGTTTTATTAGTGGGATAAATATTCTGTATATATTGATATATATATAAATGTGTGTGTGAATGTGTTTGTCACAAATTATTATCATGGCTTCCGGTTAAAGTGTACCTCAGAAACATGTTACCAGAAAACTGTAAGTAGAATAGACACTGAGAAGAGAAGTCGTAATCCTTTTCTGCTCGCAGCAAATGAATTAATTTCAGGTTGCGGCAACAACTGCAAACTGTTGAAAGTTTCTTTCAAGAATTCATGGAATTCCAGGCCTATGTTATACTGGGACATTGCGTCGTCGTGGATTTTTTCAAGAGCGTGTTCTGCTATGATGTTGAGAAATTCTAAAAGTGTTGTGTACATAGTGCAAAAGCTTGCCAAGCACAGGAGTTTATCGGAATGGAAACAAATTAAACTTTTTAAAATGTACTTATTGTTTTTTTTTATTATTTAAATGAACAATGAATAGAGTGTGTGTGTGTGTGTTTTTCTTATCAGAATATTTCACCTTTCTGCTACGCAGTGTAATTATATGACATACGTAAAGCAGCGGATGGTCACGTCACTGGAAAATTGTAATTTATGTTGGCAACAAAATAATAATGGTGTTGATATGAGATTCGTCTGAGAGCTAAAGGAAAATGCAGGAAATTTATTGAGTGGATTGCTAATGCCTTAAATTGGAGAATATTTGGGTCAGATCCAAAGTCTGTCTGGATGTCTGCCAGAGTCTGCAAACATTACAAGTCTTCCATTTAAGAATAATTATCTTGGATATGGACTAGAATATAAAAGTGTAGTTGCCAGCCATAGAAGGGGAGTTAAAAAAATATCTAGGCAAACGGATGGCACAGTTATGATTAAATAATATTTATTTTTTGGTATTATTATACTACTAAGATATTAATAAAAAAATAAGGCTTTGTCTATGCCAACTTTGTATTTACCAAGTTTTCAAAGTTGGCATTACCGTAATACTAGAAACTAAAAAAATGACAAAACTGTTTGTTTTTTGTTTTTTTCCTGAAATTTATTCGAGTGTATGTAATTAATAAGAAATTGATTGCATTCTTTTGCATCACGTGTTAGAAACTTTTAGAATCGATGTATTGTTACATAGACTAGTCAGTGCTTATACTAGTGTTATTATTGATTGGGACCCACGAATTAAGATTCCAATCCTCAAACAAAACAAATGTTTTGTGTAAAACAATGAAATCAATCAAAAATAAAAGCTTCATTAAACTGTCGATCTGTTTCAGTGCCTGTCCTTTTTCCATCACACCGAGCGGTTGGCACTCGTGGTTCGGGAAGTTCTGTGTTAGAGTCTGTTTCCCACAGCTTTATCGTGGTTTATCTCAGTTTCTCCATTGAAATGCTTGATGGCTGCCTCTAACTTAGGATCTTTTCCATGACATCGACTTTATCCGTCATTCGTGTTTCGCTCTAAAACGGGTTGTAGTTTTCATGTTTGATTTGAGTTGTTCTTTTTCCTTTTGTGGGTTGCATTTTCCAAATGGAAAGAATTCTTGAAGGTAATGAGGGATGTGAGGGTCGCTTTGAAAACCTAAAATCCTACTTCCAATTGTCACTGTTCTCCGAGAATT